ATCTCTACAATAAATCAAAAAATCAGCCGGGCGTGGTAGCGCGCACCTGTAATTCCGGCTACTCGGAAGGCTGAGGCGGAAGGCTCGCCGGAGCCCAGGAGGCGAGGCTGCGGTGGCCGGAAGCGGTCACTGCACTCCAGTCTGGGCGACAGAGTGAGACTCCAATTCAAAAAAAAAAAGAAAGAAAGAAAATGCTTTTCCTAATCTGCGTTTGCCTATGAACTTTGTTTATGGTTTGTTTTCTGATACACACCAAAAAATGTTATTTAATCACATTTAGTATCTCTCTTCCATTGCTATTATTGTAGAAAGTCTGTCTTATCCTAAGAGTAGATAGATACTCATATATTTTCTTCTGGTTTAATGATTTCAAAAGTGTCTGATTCTTTAATCAATATGGAATGTATTTTAATGTGTGGAATGAGGTGAGAATCTAACTTAATTTTTCCAAGTTATTAATAATTTATCGAGCACACTGTGCTCTTTCCTTTCTCTACTAAATTGTCATACCATCTTTATCAAACAAAAACATCTTGTATGTTCCAGGGTCTGTTTCCCAGCTCTGTTCAGTTATCTGAATTTCTTCTTCAGATGTTTGCTGTATGGTCTTTTTTTTTTTTTTTTTTTGAGTTGGAGTCTCACTCTGTCCCCCAGACTGGAGGGCAGTGGCCGCTCCCGGCCACCGCAGCCTCGACCTGCTGGGCTCCAGCGATCCTTCCACCTCAGCCTTCCGAGTAGCCGGAATTACAGGCGCGCACTACCACGCCTGGCTGATTTTTGATTTATTGTAGAGATGAGGTCTCGCCTGCCCAGGCGGGTCTCGAACCCATGGGCTCAGGCAATCCACTCACCTCAGCCTCCCAAAGGCGCGGGATTACAGGCTGAGCCACCGAGCCCAACTTGTATAGTCTTTTTTGATGCTGAGTTTGTAATTACAAATAAATAACTATAATCCATCAAACCACCCCAAAACAATTTTGTATTTTCTCATTCTTGCAGATTATTTAGATCATTATTTATTTTTTGACACCTTACTAATTAGTTAGGTATCTGAAATAGTTCATTGTTATCAAAACTCACATACAGCCAGGCTCAGTGGCTCAGCCTCTAATCCCGCGCCTTTGGGAGGCTGAGGTGAGTGGATTGTCTGAGCCCGCGGTTTGAGACCCACCTGGGCAGGTGAGACCTCATCTCTACAATAAATCAAAAAAATCAGCCAGGCGTGGTAGCGCGCGCCTGTAATTCTGGCTACTCAGAAGGCTGAGGCGGAAGGATCGCCAGATCCCAGCAGGTCGAGGCTGCGGTGGCTGGGAGTGGCCACTGTACTCCAGTCTGGGCGACAGAGTGAGACTCCAACTCAAAATAAAACAAAAAAAACCTCACATACATGCATTTGGAAATATTTAGAAAAAGAAAAGCATTTTCACATTTTTGGAAGGGAATAAACTAAAGATATGCTTACTTTTTGTTGTTAATACAATGATCTATTGACTCTCTCTAGTGATTTAATTAATTAGTTCAACAAATACTGCGTGCCAGCCACTTTTCCAAGTACTAGGTATCCAAGACAGAAACCCCTGCTTTCATAAAGCTTATGTCCTAGTGGGGAGACAGATGCAAACAAACTAGGTACATTTTAATGTAGTCTGCCTGACAGTGATGAATGCTATGGAGAAAAAATAAATAAACCAGGGAAGGGGACTGGGGATTTTTTTTTTTTTTGAGTCAGAGTCACTCTGTCACCCAAGTTGGAGTGCAGTGGCACGCTCACGGCCACCGCAACCTCGACCTGCTGGGTTCAGGTGATCTTCTACCTCAGCCTTTCAAGTAGTTAGAACTACAGGTGTGTGCCATCACATCTGTCTAATTTTTTTTGTTATTATTTGTTGTGGAGATGAGGTCTCACCAAGTTGCCCAGGTTGGTCTCGAATCTGTGGGCTCAGGCAGTCCTCTTAGCTCGGCCTCCCAAAGTGCTGGGATTATAGGCATGAGCCACCGTATCCAGCTGGGACTGGAGATTTTGAATAAGGAGCTCAGGCAGAGCTTCCTGAGAGCAGTAATTGAGTCAAGACCCAGAAGAAGTAAAGGAACCAGACATTTTCTTCTAGAACTTGCCACAAATAGGTTACTCACATTGAACGCCCTAGTAGAACTTCAGATATACTTTAAGTATATCTTAAATCCATTGCATTAATCATTCATAGCTTATCGACTACAATGAGCAAAATGTTCATCTTAATATCTCATGGCATATTTTAATATTTAAATTCCTCATGAGTTAACTATCTAAATTATACTTACAGGAATAAAGTAGCCTGTTGGGAATCTTTGAACTGTAGAACGAAATACAAAGCTCCTATTTAAAAAAAGAAGAAGAAAGAAAACAAAAATTGTTATTAAAAATCTTTCCTTTTAAGAGACAGGATCTGCCGGGCTCGGTGGCTTAGCCTGTAATCCCATGCCTTGGGAAGCTGAGGTGAGTAGATTGCCTGAGCCCACGGGTTCGAGACCCGCTTGGGCAACTTGGTGAGACTTCATCTCTACAATAAGTCAAAAAATTAGCCAGGTGTGGCAGCACGCGCCTGTAGTTCCAGCTACTTGGAAGGCTGAGGCGCTGGAGCCCAGCAGGTCGAGGCTGTGGTGGCCGGGAGCGGCCACTGCACTCCAGTCTGGGCAACGGAGTGAGACTCCAACTCAAAAAACAAACCAACAAACAAACAAACAAACAAAAAAGAGACAGGATCTTACTCTGTTACCCAGGCTGGAGTTCAGTGGTATGATCACTGCAGCCTTAAACTTCTGGGCTTAAGCAATTCTCCCACTTCCAAGTAGCTAGGACTGCAGGAGTGCACCACCACGCCCAGCTAATTTCTTAATTTTTGGTAGAGATGAGGTCTCGCCACGTTGCCCAGGCTGGTCTAAGCTTCTGGCCTCAAATTATCTTTGTACCTCAGTCTCTCAAAGTGCTGGGATCACAGGCATGAGCTATCATGCCCAGCCTCTAAATCTGTTTTTTAAAGTAGAGATCTTTGTAAACTTATTTCCTATTTGTCATTAAATACTTGAAAATGCTCATCGGTATATGAGATGCATACATGAAGTTTAAAAACCAGGAGTATTGATATACTGAGGAGACCCCAAAAAACTGCAATTATTTTTTGGAAGGCAAGCCCCTTTGTACTACTGGCTTCCCCCACTAGGCAAGTGTTCTAGAAACCCATTGGAATCAGGGCACCAGCTAGTGTTGTTGAAAGAGGCTGAATCTGGAGTTTTTTAAAAAAGATTCTTTCAGCACATTAGCTTGTTTCATGATGGGTGATCTACCAGTGTATCTGCCCATATCACACCGAGTGTTCAGTAGTTTTTGACCAAAAATGGCATTACTCCTTGTGCCCCACCCTTCCTATTCACCTGATCTCCCCTGAGCAACTTTTTTTGTTTCTCTGGATTAAAAAAAAAAAAAAAAAAAAAAGCCCTCAAAGGAAAATGTTTTGGCAATGTGTAAGAGGTGAAACAAAAAATGGCAGAAGCATTAAAAGTCATCAAAAAATTGGTGAGTTCAAAAACTGTTTAGAAGGTCAGGCGCAGTGGCTCACACCTATAATCCCAGCACTTTGGGAGACCGAGGCAAGAGGATTGCCTGAGCCCTTGAGTTCGAGACCAGCCTGGACAACTTGGCAAGACCTCATCTCTACAATAAATAAAAAAATTAGCCAGGCATGGTGGTGCGTGCTTGTAGTTCCAGCTACTTAGAAGGCTGAGGTTGAAGGATCACCTGAGCCCAGCAGGTCGAGGCTGTGGTGGCCCATAGCGTGCCAGTGCCCTCCAGCCTGGGTAACAGAGTGAGACTCTAACTCAAAAAAAAAAAAAAAAAAAAACTATTTAGAGCTGTGGAAAAAACATCTCAATAGGTGTATTGCATCAAACGGAGAGGATTTTGCAGGTGACTGAAGATTAAACATGTAAGAATAAACAATTTTTTATAAGTAAATTCAGGTTTTGGGGGAATCCCCTCTCGTGTAAGTGTAGAAATAGAAAGGCAAGAGTGAAATGATTAGAAGTTGCTTAATTAGTAAGTATATAATTACCTGGACGCGTACTTGGGAACTGGTGCAGGAAGCACATTGTATTGCCCTGGAGAAAGATGGAGTGACTAAAACAGAAGGGACAAGGACACCAGTCAACAGATTAATACCGGTCGTCAATTCACTTCATTATCTGTCATTCATAAACCTTCATTTTATGATCATACAACATTGCATCATTTATTCTCCACTTTAAGAGTGGATAAAGGAGCCGGACTTGGTGGCTCAGCCTGTAATCCCGCGCCTTTGGGAGGCTGAGGTGAGTGGATTGCCTGAGCCCGCAGGTTCGAGACCCACCTGGGCAACTCGGCGAGACCTCATCTCTACAATAAATCAAAAAATTAGCCGGGCATGGTAGTACGTGCCTGTAGTTCCAGCTACTTGAAAGGCTGAGGCAGAAGGATCGCCGGAGCCCGGCAGGTTGAGGCTGCAGTGGTGGGAGCGGCCACTGCACTCCAGTCTGGGCAACAGAGTGAGACTCCAACTCAAAGAAAAACAAACAAACAAACAAACAACAACAACAACAAAAAGAGTGGAAAAGGTTGAGCTTGGTACAGTGGCTCATACCTGTAATCCCAGCACTTTGGGAGGCAGAGGTGAGAGGATTGCCTGAGTCCAGGGATTCGAGACCACCCTGGGCAAAAGGGCAAGACCTTGTCTCTACAATAAGTTAAAAAAAAAAATTTAACCAAGCGTGGTGCCCTGCGCCTGTAGTTTCGGTTACTTGAAAGACTGAGGAAGAAGGATCGGCTGAGCCCAGCAGGTCAAGGTTGCAGTGGCTGTGAGCATGACCTGCTGGACTCCGGTGATCCTTCCACCTCAGCCTTCCAAGTAGCCAGAACTACAGGCACGTGCTACCATGCCTGGCTAATTTTTTATTTTTATTGTAGTGGTGAGGTCTCACCAAGTTGCCTGGGCTGGTCTCGAACCTGCGGGCTCAGGCAGTCCACTTGCCTCGGCCTCCCAAAATGCTGGGATTACAGGCTGAGCCACTGAGCCCAGTGGAAAAGGTGTTTTTCAAAGGCAGAGTTTCAAAACACATAACACATATTCACTCTTCATGATGAATTTTATGGACCTGTTCCTAAGACACTGCATAGGAAAATGCTTTCCAAATGATCTCATTTGAAATATACGACATTCAACACATCAATTCGACCCTTGATCAGCAGGAATGAGAGGTCCCTCCATAAGCGATTCTCTAGCATAAGCCACTGTCATCGGTGTTGGAAGACAGACTGAAATTTACTGTTGCCCAGTAAATCCAGCTGGGTGATCTCAAGACCATAAAGATGGCGAGATTTGAGGGAGGCTTTTAAGAAAGGCAAGCCTTCCTTGAGGACAGCAAGGGAGAGTGCTCCAAGAAGAAGGGCCTTACACACAGGACCCCTCTGCCCATTGCTGAGCTTGCTACAAACCATCTGGGTGATCCATCATCCCCGGATCTATGGAGATCAGCCCAGAGGTCTGAGTGTAGAGTGTCAGGAGCTGGTGAGGGCGCAGAGCGGGTGTGTGAAGGAAGGGAGGGAGAGAAGGATGGAGAATGAGAAGCCAGGAGGGGAAGACCTGGCAGACCTTTGAGCTCCTCTGCGGAAGGAGCTGGCAGGAGGATATCATGTAAACCCTAGGCATAATACTTCCTGAAGTGTACGATCTGTCTCCGGCTCCTATTATTTTGACATCAGACCTTAAGAAAACAGTACTGCCTTTGTTGAAAATGAGGCATCCACGTCCTGGCACTACCTGCCACATGGAAGTCACGATTGTCTTTCACCCTGCAGCTGTCTTTCCCGAATTAGTTATCAATTTTGATCGCAGAGGCAGCTTTTTGTGTCTACAGTGATGGTGGCAGTAAATACACATTTTATGGTGAAATACACCATCGTCCTGAAACACCTGTTATTGATTGTTCACGATACAATAAACACCGAGGAAATAAGAGTGTTCTTGTGCCATACCACAGAGCACAGAAACATATTTTATTTATTTGTTATTTATTTATTTGTATTTATTTAGTACCATCACCAACCAAGTCTTTCTTACTGGTGTCCTCAGTTTCAGCTTCTCCTTTTTTTGAGTTAGAGTTTCACTCCGTAGCCCAGGCTAGAGTGCAGTGGCACGCTCCCGGCCACCGCAGCCTCGACCTGCTGGGTTCAGGTGATCCTTCTGCCTCAGCCTTCCAAGTAGCTGGAACTACAGGTGCGAGCCACCACGCCCGGCTAATTTTTCGCTTTATTGTAGAGAGGAGGGCTCACCAAGTTGCCCAGGCTGGTCTCGAACCCCTGATCTCAGGCCTGGGATTACAGGCTTGACCTACTGAACCTGGCCTTTTCTTTCTTTCTTTTTTAACATATAAATAATGGATTTTTTAAAATGTATGTATTTATTTTTAAATTTTATTTATTTTTAATATTTTTTTTTTTGAGTTGGAGTCTCACTCCATCGCCCAGGCTAGTGCAGTGGCACGCTCCCAGCCACCGCAGCCTCGACCCGCTGGGCTCCGGCGATCCTTCCACCTCAGTATTCCGAGTAGCCTGAATTACAGGCGCGCACTACCACGCCCAGCTAATTTTTGGTTTATTGTGGAGATGAGGTCTCGCCAAGTTGCCCAGGTGGGTCTTGAGCCCGCGGGCTCAGGCAATCCACTCACCTCGGCCTCCCAAAGAGCTGGGATTACAGGCTGAGCCACCGTGCCCAGTTATTTTTTAATTTTAAAGATGTGGGGTACAATATCTCTCTATCTCTCTATCCACCTATATCCATCTCTATCTATCTCTGTCTCTATCTAAATCTAGACGAAGCTTTAGATGTAGATTTATATTTTAAGACTTTATTCAGAGCAGTCTTAGGATCATGGCAAAATAAGAGGAAGGTACAGAGATTTCCCACATACCCTTTGCCCCAGCACATCAGCACCTCCGTTATCAACATCCCACACCACAGAGGGACAGTCATTACAACTGATGAAACTACATTGCCGCGTCATCACCCAAAGTTCATATGTTACATTAGGGTTCATTCTTTTTTTTTAATTAAAAAAAATTCATGTTCAAGATGTGGGGTACAATTCAGGTATACAAGTGGTCATCGTACAGGTGAAGTTTGGGCCTCCCTTTGGTCCCCACTTTGCCTGGCTTGAGATCAGGTACCCTTATTGATGTTATGTGCCCCCCCGACCCCCCCCGGCAGCTTCCTGCTACTGCCAATCCCTTTCTTATAGTATTATGGTAAATGTTCAGGGTCTGCTTATGAGTGAGAACCTGTGGTCTTCAGTTCTTTGTTGCTGTGCTAGATCACTGAGTGTGATGGACTCTAAATCCATCCAAAGTCCATATGTTTGTCCTTCTTTATGGCTGCATAATATTCCATTGTGTATATGTACCAAATTTTTTTACCCCATCCAGTTTAGGGCTTACTCTTGGTGTTGCACATTGGAGGGTTTCCACAAATGTCCAATAACATGTATCCAGCATTGTAGTATCATACAGTGGTTTCACTGCCCAATGAATCCTCTGGGCTCCACCTATTCATCCTTCCTTCCCCCTAACCCCTGGCAACCACTGATCTTTTTATTGTCTCCATAGGTTATTGTTTTTCAGAATGTCATGTAGTTGTAATAATACAGTATATAGTCTTTTCAGATTGGCACTTTTTTTTTTTGAGTCCGAGTTTCACTGTTGCCCAGGCTGGAATGCAGTGGCATGCTCATGGCCACTGCAGAATTGACCTGCTGGGCTCAGGTGATCCTTCTGCTTCAGCCTTCCTAATTTTTTTTTTTTTTTTTAATTTATTGTAGAGACAAGGTCTTGCTGTGCTTCCTAGGCTGGTCTTGAACCCGTGGACTCAGGCAATCCTCTCGCCACAGCCTCCCATAGTGGGATTCCAAGCATGAGCAACTGCGCCCGGCCCAGATTGGCTTCTTTCACTTAATTGTATGCATTCAATTTTCTTCCATGTCTTTTGATGGCTTAGTAGCTTATTTCTTTTTAGTGCTGAATAAAATTGCATTGTCTGAATGTACCGCAATTTATTTATCCATTCATTTACTACAGAACATCTTGGGGCCAGGTGCAGTGGCTCATGCCTGGAATCCCAGTGCTCTGGGAGGCCAAGGTGGGAGAACTGCTTGAGGCCAGGAGTTCAGACCAGGCTGGGCAACATAATCGGTCCCTACCTCTACAAAAACAATAGCAATAACAACAAAAACAAAGGACATCTAGATTACTTCCAAGTTTTGACAATTATGAATAAAGCTGCTATAAACATCCATATGCAGGTTTCTGTGTGGACATAAGCTTTCAGCTCCTGTGGGTAAATACTAAGGGGCACAACTGCTAGATCTTTTTTTTTTTTGAGTTGGAGTCGCACTCTGTTGCCCAGGCTGGAATGCAGTGGCATGCTCACAGCCACCCCAGCGTCAACCTTCCAGTCTCTGGCGATCCTTCCACCTCAGCCTTCCAAGTAGCCGGAACTATAGGTGTGCACTACCATGCCCAGATAATGTTTGATTTATTGTAGAGACAAGGGCTTGCCAAGTTGTCCGGGCTGGTCTGAACCCACAGGGCTCAGGCAATCCATTTGCCTCGGCTTCCCAAAGTACTGGGATTACAGGCTGAGCCACCGAGCCCAGCCAACTGCTGGATCTTAATGGAAGAGTATATTTAGTTTTATGTAAAAACTGCCCAACTATCCTCCAAAATGACTAAACCATTTTGTATTCCCACCTTGAGAGTTTCTGTTGCTCCTCATCCCCTGCTTTGAGGCTGCCAATGTCCTGTATTTTGGCCATTTTAATAGGTGTGCAGTGGTATCTCATTGTTTTAATTGGCATTTCCTTGATGACATGTGATGTGGAACATTTTTTCAGAAGCCTGTTTGCCATCTGCATTTCGTCTTTGGTAAAGAGTCTATCAAGGTGTTGGGCCCCTTTTTGAGTTGTTTTCTTACTGTTGAGTGTTAAGTGTTCTTTGTATATTTTGGTTAACAGTCCTTTATCAGCTATAACCTCTGCAAGAACTTTCTCCCTGCTATTGGCTTCTCTTTTCATTCTCTTCACAATCGTTTGCAG